GACAGACCAGTGAAAGAATTGAAATCCAATATCGTCGATTGGTATTTGGCTGTTTCCGATCTGAGGACTGAGATGATAGGTTGGTGGTATGTAATTTTGAATCTCGTCTTGGCGGACACTTCTGTTTCTTCAGGAGCAGTAATAATGCCTGCTAATTGCTATTCCGTAATTACTAATTAGGGAGCACACGAATTAACCACATTTTATTTTAGATAGGTACTGTAATTTCTTTACCTTGCACGCGCACCCATGAAGTTAATTTGTGACATTAGTATTAGTACCACACAGTTTTGCTATGAAACCATTAGATAACTTGACTTATGGAGCCATCCAAATTGATTCACCAGTAGTATATTGACACGTATCCTACGATAAATATAATTTGGACAAGTGTCAATACATCAAGTGTGGATGGCTCTATAAAAAAACCATTTGATGGCTCCATAGAATTTTTGTTGTACCATAATACTTGTATATAATTCATTTTTTTTTAGTTACCATATATTACTCTCACTTTTATAATTTAATTCATATATTAGTTATTATAACTAGTACGTTTTGAAGTTATTTTAGTATATTTTAGAAAGCTCTTGTGGATGGTTGGACTAATTTGTTATATTATATTATTACATTAGTTAGTTGATATTATATAAGTAATAGATTTACTTTTGTAAAACAAAAATAAAATTGGTTTAACCGTACAGTTTATATATAAATAAAATACAATATATAATATTAATTAGATAATGGTAACGCAAAACACTCCGACCGGCTTGAAATCGGTTCGCCTTCCTCTTCCTCGCCGGTAGAACGCCGCGCACCTGCACAGAACTCTCACACTGGAGGGGTTTTCCGGTAAAGAGCCTTCGATGCTTAAGTCAGTATGTGTTTTTTCAATTTTCCGAAGTAAAGAATGGATAAATCGTAAGTCTCACAAGAAAAGACTCACTCCTATATATATAGGAGTGAGATACCTACCCTAGGAGCTGCCCGAATTTTGGTGAGCTGTCCTACCCGCGCTGCCCATCCGTACACACACAGTATGCGTGTGTCAGAGATGCCAGAGGTGGTTATCGCCACTATTGCTCTGCACCAATGCACTCTCGCCACGTGTCCCTCTCAGCACACCACTTTTCGAATGAAAATCCCCACAGACGATGCCAAATGGTAACGCAAAACACTCCGACCGGCTTGAAATCGGTTCGCCTTCTTGTTCCTCGCCTGTAGAACGTCGTGCACCTGCACAGAACTCTAACACCGGAGGGGTTTTCCGGTGAAGAGCCTCCGATGCTTAAGTCAGTATGTGTTTGTTCAATTTTCCAAAGTAAAGAATGGATAAATCGTAAGACTCACAAGAAAAGAACCACTCATATATATATAGGAGTGAGATACCTGCCCTAGGAGCTGCCCGGATTTTAGTGAGCTGTCCTACCCGCGCTGCACGTCCGTACACACACAGTGTGCGTGTATCAGAGATGTCAGAGGTGGTTATCGCCACTATTGCTTTGCACCAATGCATTCTCGCCACATGTCCCTCTGAGTGGAGGGAGATTATTCTTCTGCGTCTGCCGTTAGGATCTTCTAACGCCACCCACGCTCGCGTTCAAGCCACGCTCTCGACCGCGCTTCACCTGTTGGGTGCTCGATCTGATCGAGCCCCCCCATCGCTAGGTCGATCCTCGACCAGTTCTGCTATTCTGCTCGATCTCTTCCCTTTTGGTTGATCATCCGTCGACCAATGCGGTTTTCTCTACTTCGAGCTTGTCCGACCGATGTGGTAGACCAGTCTATTCTTTAGTTATATTATATCCCATATCAGATAAAATAGGTAAACAAAAAGATAGTTGTTACAAATCAAACCCCAACACAACCCAAAAAAATAGTTGTTACAAACCATACTTTATTATTTTTTTTATCTTATTTTTTTCCCATTCTTGTCTTTATTTAATATACATGAGTTATCATAGGTGTAATTTGATATCACCTTGAAGAAAAATTAGTACTATATTTAGTTTGAGGTGTAAGTGTGATTTAGAATTTATAAAGATAAAGAAGAGTTATTATTTAGTTTGAATAGGTGTAATTTAAATATGTATTTTGACATGTTATCCTTTATAAGTGATTTTGATAATTGGGAACACATTTGTTCGAATTTTGAGGTTTTGGACTATAATTACTTAGATAATAACCTATAAAATAAAGTATTAATGGTCGGGTAATTTAATATACATTAACAATTAACAATATAGTTAGAAGGTTACAAGTGTACTGGTAAACTGACAATTAATTTGTCATTGTCAAAGTCGTATAAATAATTATTGTCGTGATTGCTTGGCGTGTTTCTGCCGTGAGAAGGGTTTTATCTTATTTCTTTGTGTTTGTGTTTTGTGTTTGTGTTTTGTGGTGTTCTGTTAATGTTTGTTGTGTTTGTTTGTGAACTGTGTTTTGTTTTCTTATCCTTTAGAGGAGCGTATTATTCTCCTGTGGGGAGTTAGGGTCATTCTCCTGTGGGGAGTTAGCGTCATTCTCCTGTGGGGAGCTTTTATTTTTCTTATTGTGTTGTAGTGTGTGTTGTGGTATCTGGACTGGCCTCCATGAGCAGCTCCTATTCCGGTTTCAACCGTTTGTAATTATGTGTTTCTCGTTAATGAATCTATCGTTTCGAAAAAAAAAAAAAAATGCTTGTGAACAACGTTGTTGACAACATTGAGGTGTACGGTTGAGATGATCATAAATTAACGGTTAAGATTTGTCTTGACCTTAATTTATTATCTTTTTGACTTTTGTATAAAGTGTAACAAATAGAATGTCTAAAACACCCTTTTTTTAAATAATGAATGTTATTTCGTTGTCTGATGTAATTTTTATCCCGATGTTAATTGTCTTAACATACCAGATAAATTATTTATTCTATCCGACATATCAGCTAGAGCGTTTCTCTGAGACTGATAATCTACTCGGTTCTCCTATAATCAAAGAATTTTCTTTAACATTTATAGAATTTTTATTTCCTATTAGAGTTTTTCCTTTAGCTATGTCAATAGCCCAGTGTTCTTCCAGAGGTGCTAACTCACAGAAGGTTTTTTCTTCTACTGAACCAATATTCGAGAAGATATCTTCTAGTTCAATATAAGATTTTTTTTCCTATAATCTATACTATGATGACTATTAGTCAAAGCATAGCTTATAACATATGTAACACTAAAGACTTTATCTCCAGGGTTCATTAAATTTTCTCTTTCAAAATGGTGAATGAAAGATAGAGTTTATCTAAATTTGCAGTTTGAATAGATATATCAAATTAAGGATAAACTGTGAAAATAAACTTACCATAAGCAAGATTTCCCCTTGTTGCTCCTAAGATACAGTTTTTTCTGTCATTAATTCTATCATCGATTAATGCCATTTTTATAAGAGTATCAATCCCTTCTTGAAATTCAGCTTTAAGCAAAATTTTTATTGTTCCTAGATGAATTGTTGAAATTTTATTTCTTATAAAAGATGGAATTTTCTCCATATTTTTTCGTATTTCTGCTTTAGTAATTAAAGGTAGATATACCGTTCCTTTAACATCTCTGATGTCTACATGCAATTCTTGCGTGTTGACAAAATAGAAAATTTCATTTTTCCTTTTTAAGAAATTTAACATTGGAATGTTAAAAATTTCTTCTTTTTTAAGATCTAACTTGGATTTTTGAATCTTAGTTAAAACATTATGTTTTATTGCCAAACTGGCTTTAAAACCTTTTTCATTTCCACTAAATGAAATTTGTGAAAGATCACTATTAGAACATAGAGCTTGTTCTATATTTTTGTTTTTATTATCCGTATTGGAATTCATATTATAAATAGGTTTTCCAGCTGTCTCCACCTTAAGATGGGATCGCGAATACTGGTATTCCCCATTATGCATTGTAATTTCGTATTGGAAAATGAATACAGAAAATATTGATCAAAAGATCTATTATCCAACAGGATCTGATACCAAGATTTTTTGACGGGCTGATTCCCGTGCGGATTTATACAGGATATCTGAGTAACTCATTTCAAGCCATAAGAAGTGAGCTTTGTTGTTGTGCTTTCTTTATAGACTTTTTTAATGCAAGAATGAAAGAGATCATTCTATTGACATTATCAACATAACTTCTTATAGTTGCTAGTTTTATTTCTATAGATGCAGAACTATAAGCTTGAATATAATTATTCAAGTTTTGTTCTTCTTCTTTTAAATCAGCTGTTAACCGAAGTATTTGCTTTCTTAGTGTTTTGAGACAATTAATATCTGAAAACACTACTCTTACCGGCAAATGCCAAAAATCATCGTTTTCCATAGGAAGCTAAAGTTTTAATACTCAAACAAAATTTATGAACTATGCAGCTCCCAAAAGGATGCTTGTTTTTCTGCTTTCTTAATTGACTTCTTAGTAAAATCAATTAATCCCCATATATTATTTAGTCTAAAACCATAAGATCTTATGACGTTCATTCTATTATCAGGTGATGCCGTTTGATAATCAAGTTCTTCCTCATGTTCTAAGGCTTCATATCTTCGTTGATAAACTTCTAACAAAGTATGAAGATCTATTAATTGTTTACGCTGATATTTCAAAGCGTTTGTTTTCCTATAAGTTCATTCTTATTGGCAAATGCCAAAATTCATAATATATCATTTTCAAAAAATTATTTTTATCAAAAATAAGTTTTTATTTAATTTTTGGTTTTGAAAACCTTTCAGAAATTTTTGAAATTTCTCTCTTGACAAATTAAAAGTCCTTTCTTAGAAACTATAAACTGCTTCTCAGAGAGCTATCTAAAACATAACTACAACATTCAAAGGAACTTCTTATAAAATGTTTTATAGTTTGGATAAATGTTATACCTCTGTGTTTGTTTTTAAATCTCTGTGTCTGAATGATCGACTCAAAGCCGGTGCCACTGGTACTGTTTTCCC